AATTGTTGCAGTTGCTTTGACTCCGATCCCAGTTCCCTTGCAAACCGCCAGCTTCAAATCCTTACACTCGAAGAGGCTATTCGAGCACTTTCCGTTACGGTTACAGTTGGCTTTCGTACAAAAGTAGCTGGTATCGGCATTAGGACACTCGTCTCTGAAGCAGTCAAAGCCGCACTTGCACTTGCCAGTAGGGCCAGTGTCGGTAAATCTGATCTTCTCTGGGTTTCGTGACACATTCACTTTGTCGACATTGGCTGGCCGGAGGTCATCATCATCGCCGTCGATAACAATAACCTCAGGCTCACGAGGGATTGCTTCACGACGAAGCATGGCCTGGCGCCGCGCAGAAAGCGCCTCACGAACTCCTGGCAGCCGCAGGAAGCTGTTCATGAACATCGTCTTCATTTTGCCGACGTTGTACACTTTGGTGGAGGGGCGGACGGACTTCTTGCGCCCCGCGTACTGCTTCTTCCGCGAGCTTTAATTCCAGGGATTGTTTTTCTTGCGTTTTTTGCTTGTCCTCGCGCTGCTTGTAAGTCTGAATGCTCTTGGCAGTCGTGGCTGCCTCCGCCACGAGCTCCTTCTTCACAGTCACGTCCGGTCCTCTTTCTCACCCAGGCCTTGGCTGTGCCCGGCAGTCTTCGGCTTCACAGTCTCCCCCATGGTGCTCGACCTGCTTCTCCCCGGATTTTTAAATGAGCCCTCTGACCTGGCATATGTCATCTCCGTCGCCAGTGACTGCCACCCACACCAAAACCTACCATCGCTATCACTGCGAGTGCCGACAATGTTCCTGTCCCTCGCAGCCAACAGACTGCATTTTGTCCGAAATTCAGACTTGGCTGTCCAGTTTTTATATTTTCTCCTGGTTGCCTCTGAGCCTTCGCCATCATCCGTTGAGTCCTCGTGGTGGACCCACGAGTACTCGTCATCGCTAGATCCGTCCACATGGACAATCTGCGAGCACTCGTCGCGCACCATATCAACACAGACATCTTGTACCCCGACACCCTGCTAGCCAATCAAAACTTTGTCTAGAATCCAGTATAGAGTGCAGAGACCACAATATATGCAGACAAGTGGGTTTGCTAGCGTCCAGCATTTTGGTCGGTAGCTTGAATTTCGTAAGTGCCTACTTTTGTAAAATGTTTTGCCAACATTGATACAAATCATATTATATTTTTGTAGATAGCTCCAATAATCGGTTTTTTTATTGCAACAAAACTGGTTTTAGTGATACAGACGATCCCCTCGGTAGTAATCCCTTGGCGTGGAATACTCCTCAACAGCAATAAATTAGATACAAGGTACATAGAAACCCAATATATTATTCCCTCTCACTCCTCAGTTGTAAAATGGAATGCATTTGAAGTCATATACTCTGGGGTGCTTAACTATGGAACAGTAGTCATAACTGCACAAGAGCATTATTGCTGCCAAGTCCGATCGGAACGTTGAACCGATGAAGCCTATCCTTTTGACCACTTTAGACGTGACCTGCTATCGTGTACTTATATATATATTCTGCGAATTATATTTTAGAGTCTCCCATGGATCCGATTATCCTCGCATAGTTCATGTATGAGCCTATA